AACGAATGTCAACCGAACTGTAGAAGCAATAAAATTGAGGATTTGCATTGCATTTTTTTCATGAATAGCACCTCTAAGGTTTGTTCCAATCATCAACATCCACATTTCAATTTTGTGTTAGACCATTTTGATGGAGGTATATATTTGGCCATCATTTAAAAATATGGTAACATTATTTCGTGAAATTCAATTTGTGTTTTGGTTGAGCTCATTTGGACTGAACCAGTGCCATTTTCAGTGCACTTTGAAGCTGTAGAAATTTGAAACTTTGAGAACAATGGATTCAAACTATTGCACCAGTTGTATGGATGTTCTCAATTTTGGGTCTCAGATTAAGACAGTTACACCATGAGATCTCGGGTATGTTTCAAACTGTAGGTTTCACACACACACACACGCCTCATGTAGATCAAACTAGGGAGACTGAATTCCAAGTCTATACCTGGTTACACCAGAATGTTGGGTCCTGAGATTATAGCAAGGAGCAAGGAGTTTATTCAGTACTTTGGCCACATGGCCTATTGTACAACAACACGACAGAATACAGGTTGGTCATGTGTGGTTGTAGAAGGGGTAACTTCACTTGTTTATAGTGCTCAAGAGAAGATGAGTTATTGATTGAGTAATGCCAGTCTTGTAAGTATATATCCAAGCTGTTTCCATTCATGCAAAAATTGTCGCATGAGATTATAATTAACTACCCTCCTGGTTGAAATCAAGTTTCCTTGTTCTTCAGGGCAGTGGGGTATCCTAGTGGTTAAAGCATTGGCTTGTCATGTCAAAAACCCATATTTCAATTCCTCACTTTGGGTACAATGTGTGAAGCCCATCTCAGGTGTCCCTGCTGTTATATTGCTGGAATATTGCAAAAAGCAGCGTAAAACTAAACTCACTCACTCTTGTACTTCGGTTGAATTCACCTATGTCTGTGTCAAAACTTTATGTTTATACAGTGTTTGATAAATGTTCTTTGATTTTGTCTTGTTTCCCCACATGGGTACAATATGTTAAACCCATTTCTGGTGTCCACGCCGTGATATTGCTGGAATATTGCAAAAAGCAGCGTAAAACTAAACTCACTCACTCACTCTTTGATTTTATCTAGTTTGCATTTATCAATGTCTCGTTGACAACACAGAATCCAAATAACTCACAGTATATATGGGGCAGCATACTCGCTAGTAGTCGAGTGGTTGAAGTGACTTATCTTGCAGCAGACTCGGCTCTATTTCCAAACATGAAACACTTACTGAAGTGTCCCTTGCTGTGATATTACTGGAAATTAACTCACCCACTTTCTCCGTCATTCTCTCCCTCTTGTTGTTACAGTCTCTCACACTTATCCTCTCATTCATACTCTCACCCATACGCTCATATACTCTCATTCATTTACCGGGGCGCTGGGGTAGCCTAGTGGTTAAAGCCTTCGCTTGTCACGCTGACAACATGGGTTCGATTCCCCATATGGGTACATTGTGTGAGGCCCATTTCTGGTGTCCTTTGCAGTGATGTTGCTGGAATATTGCTAAAAGCGGTGTAAAACTAAACTCACTCACTCACTCACTCATTCATTTACCGATTCGATCATACACTTTTTTCACATAGATGCTGTCTCATCCATGCGAAATATTCCATTATTTGAACTTTAGGCTGTTACTGAATGGCTATCACAGAACTCGCTTCCTAACTCACTCACTCACTCACTCACTCCAGGGTATGTACATCTTATTAAAATGAAGATGAAACTCTAAGTTAGGTTATTCTTGATAATGCTTAGAAGGTCATGTAAAAACAATTAAATTAAACTTAAAACAAGTGTTTCTATTCAAGTTAATTTGGAAACAAATACCGCTACTGAATACTTGATTCCTTGAACACTAAATGTTTTTTTTCTTCGACTGATGTTTCTACAGATCCAATTCGAAAGAAACCAAATTTATTTATTCCGATAATAAGGCTACCCTTAACTTTGCATATTGTTTGAATCAAACTATTCTTATTTTATAGATAATCGCCTTGTGGTATTTTTTGTTTCCACACAGCAAGACAGGATGCTTATATATGATATAAAGAGCACATATATTACATACCAGTTGTTAACCCAAAGGAAGAACGCATGTTGACAACACTCAACACAAAAATATTCAATAAGGTGAGCTACAGAACCTATTGCCAATATAGAACAATGACCTGTATTACCACTATGGAAACTGGGAGTTTCTGTGATCGCAATACTCTGGTATCCACAACCTTTCCATAACAGCAAGTGGTAAATTCCTTCAAAGAACAACAAGATTAAGTGTATTCCACCGAACCTAAATGGCCTTTGTTGGCTGGCTTTGGTACTGGTCTGCGGTACTAGTCCTGCCCGTCACACCCCTGGAGGACACGTGGTCCTCGTAATGACTTGTACATATATCAAAGACAAAGTTTGGTGCCCACCGGGAGTTAATTAGCTCTGCCAAAACACTGACATTATCTCCCCTGGCCAGACTTCATCACAGTTCCATGTGATGAGAATGGCTGCAGCTGTTCGCGAAGGTGGTCAGTCAAATGTTGACATTGTGAGAATGTGATGAAGAAATCTAGCATACTTTGAGAAGCATCAGATTGTAGGTAATTAGTTTGTTAGGGATGAGTGAGTGAGTGAGTCTAGTTTTACGGTGCACTCAGCAATATTCCAGCTATATGGCGGCGGTCTGTTAATAATCGAGTCTGGACCAGACAATCCAGTGATCAACAGCATGAGCATCGATCTGTGCAATTGGGAACCGATGACATGTGTCAACCAAGTCAGTGAGCCTCACGCACGCACGTACGCTATCACATGATCCCGTTAGTCACCTCTTACGACAAACATGGGTTACTGTAGATCAATAACCCGGATCTTCACGGGTATTGTTAGAGATGACTTACTGTGTTATCATGAGTGAGTAACGGTTGAACAAATGAAAGTTGAATGACTAAAGTAATGAATGAAAGTTGAACCAATGAAAGTTAACTGAAAGTTGAATGAATTAATGAAAAATTGCACAAGTTATAGAAAGTTGAACAAGTTAGTGAAAGCTGAATTCATGAATGAATGAATGAATGAAAGTTGAAAGAATTTATGAAAGTTGAATGAAATTTGAACAAATTAATGAAAGTTGAGTAATTGTTGAAGGAATTAGTAAAGTTGAGCAAAAGCTGAAGGAATTAATAAAAGTTGAATGAAAGTTAACCAAATTAATGAATGTTGAACAAATATTTGAAAGTTGAATAAGTGTTGAAGGAATTAATGAAAATTGAATGAAAGTTAAATTAAATTAATGAAAAGCTGAATGAATAAGGAATGAAATTCATCAATATATAGATACAGACTCACACCACCTCCTGTCTCCATCTGTGCCAATCCCAGACAAGTTTTCATTCATTCAATAAATTTAATTGATTGCATACTCAAGTAAACGTATGTTCACTTATACCTTTATCTCAAGTAACGATTATGAGATTCTACTGTCTGATCCCATGGTCCAATTAATTGCAAGGTCTTGCCCAAATAAAGAACTCTGACACAGGATTAACTGGGCCCAATTCATTTTCATCTAATCTCTTCTTTATCCGTTGATGGATGTTTTCCAGACGAATGTAAGAAGGCGCAATGAACAGCCTTTATTAGCTCCACTACACTTTCTTGTCCACAAAACAGTGACAGATCTGGCTCTTGTCAGATTATTGTCAAACGTTTGGTGTGGGACTAGAACCATACAGCTGGAATGTTCAACACAAGTATGTTTTGCAGTGAGAAAATACGTCTCATCTTTTGGGGAGAATGAAAATTAGTTCAAACTTTCTGACAGCTCCTGTCAGATCAAAGTCGAAGAGAAATGTTTGCAAGTTTCATAATCTAAGAACTTGTATGATATTTTCAGCATCAACAAACACAGATAGTGTGTCTGATTGGCCATCAGTGAAGTTTTTCTTTCCCTAAGCATGTAGTACTTAAAACAATACCAAATATTTACAATTACTGTGTATGATAAGCGAGCGTGTGAGTGAATTTAGTTTTACACTGCTTTTAGCACTGTTTGAGCAATATCACGGCGGGGGACACCAGAAATGGGTTTCACACATTTCACCCATGTGGGGAATCAAACCCGAGTCTTCGCATGCCGAGCAAATGCTGGGCTACCTCACCACCCTTAATATGCTAGAGATAACCAACTGACAGCTTTATAGCCTTCGGCAAGTTGGTTTGTTGTTTAATGCTGCACTCCAGCAATATTCCAGCTACGTGGTGGGAGGGGGGCATTGTCTCTCTGTGCATACTCGAGTCTGAACCAGAATATCCAGTGATCAACATCATGAGCATTGATCTGTGCATTTGGGATACAACTTATGCTTGTCATAAGAAGCGACTAACGGGATCGGGTGATCAAGCTTGCTGACTTGGTTGACACATGTCATGGTATGCCAATTGTGTAGATCAATGCTCATGCTGTTGATCACTTCCATTATTTACAGACCGCCACCATATAGCAGGTATATGGCTGAGTGCTGCGTAAAACAAACTCACTCACTCATAGGTTGTTTCACGTATTTTAACTCAAATATACAGCATGTGCACAGGATTAAAAAACAGTAATTATATCTTAAAAAACAAAATAAGCATGTTTGTTATATAATGTTGTACTGAAGAATCCATTTCTTCATGCAGATTTGTTTTTAATTACTAGTTCAAATGATTTAACAATAGTGACATACATGTTATGATTTACTGTTGCATTATTTGTTGGTCTATATTCTCGATAAACAGGTATGCACAATTATTCAAGCACAGATCATTCCATTCAGAAGAATAATTCTTGTGGAGACTTCAGGGCTATTGACTAAAAGTAAGGGCCATCAATGTTACCGTCAACTCAAAAACATGGCCATCAACATGCTATCAATATAATCATCACTGTCAGAACTCAGTTTGGTGAAAAATTATATCCTCTGTTTTTTTCACATTTTGACAGCTCCAGGCGGCTTTTGAAAAAACAAGGCGGGAAAATGAAGACAACCGCCAGCTTGTATTGACAGCACAGAAAAAAGATGAAAAGTCCTCAGCGATGATCAGTGAACTAACATCGGTAAGACAGTCAATATGGTTCACGTCGTCCCTCTAGACATGATAGAGGTGTATATCTCAGTTTTACACCGAGATCCAGTTTGTACGTCAGGTTTTAAATGTGACTCCTCGCTCGCTGACTTGGTTGACACATGTCTTTGGGTCCCAACTGCGTAGATCGATGCTAATGCTGTTGATCACTGGATTGTCTGGTCTAGGCTTGATTTTTTACAGACCATCTCAGCTGGATTATTGCTGTGTGCGGCATTAAACAACGAGCCAGCCAGCCAACCAAATACTGCATAAAGCCAGTGGTTGATAGCATGAACAACTATCCACATAATTGTTAAAACTACATGCAGTCAACTAGTTAACGTTGGAACTGGGGTCAAAGTAACACCGTGGGAAACTGACTATCAATCTCCTCACGACATTCCCCACGGGGCTCTTAACTAGTGTTGGGATTTTGTTAAAATCTCATAATTGATGATTTGTTCACTACAACCGTTCAATCATTGAAAATACATGGTTAGCGCCAGTTTTCAAATTTTCCTGTTATGGTTAATGCACAAAACAATAAATAAACAACATGTAGTTCTTTATTTTCATTTGCAAACTGCACAAAATCCATTTGCAAATTTCACATCCAACTTAAAATGATGCAACTTGCGTCTTTAAATGGTGACTAATATGCTCGGAACTTCCTGGAGTCTTTAAGATAAGTTCAATCATGACTTGGAACAAGCTTGTAGTGCTTATGAAATGTTAATTTAACGACACAGACTAAAAAACAACATTGGGAAAACCACGAACATTTGCAAAACAGGCAGAGTTTTATGACATTTAATTTCAAAGCACAATCCTAGGTTTCTTATGCACCTAAGGGACACAACTCTGCACAACAAATTGTTGCACATAAGACAACTGTGCCCTGTGTCTGCATACTGATAAGAACACACTTCCTGATATTCCCATTTTACACATCAACAGTCATAATATCCAGACAGAAAGGAGCCAACACGCCAAGAAAAACATTAAATGTAACATTTAAATTACTCTCGTACATACTGTCTCTTCCAAATAAAATTTCAAAGCTGAAATGAAGTGGTTAGCTCTTAAATATCTCATGTCAAATCTAAGCAACATCTGAATGTTTTGTTGGTTTGTTGTTGTTTAACGCCACACTCAGCAGTATTCCAGCTATATGGCGGCAGTCTGTAAATAATCGAGTCTGGACAGACAATCCAGTGATCAACAGCATGAGCATTGTCCTACTCAATTGGGATATGATGACATGTGTCAACCAAGTCAGCGAGCCTGACCACCCGATCCCGTTAGTCGCCTCTTACAACAAGCATGGGTTACTGAAGATCAATTCTAACCGAGATCTTCAAGAGTTCTGAATGAGTGATATAGCCGAAGTTGTCCATTGCGAAGTGCAGAGTGGTTTCACAGGAAGATCAATATTAAGTTGTGTCGAACCGGAGGGATCACCTAAATATCCTAAACTCATACACACCATAGCCATCTTTTACTGCTGATACAAAACAGTTTTGAAAAGTTCCCAACAGGCATCAATTACCAACAAAATCAATCAACGATGTTTTTCACAAATGACATTGTCATCCATGACACAATGTGTTCAGTGGTGTGTTCCGATTGTGGTGTTGTTGTCGATGATGAATGGTGATTTGTCAAAAGGGGCATCAAGTGTTCCTGATGTGTGCACCTTTCAACCGTTATATTCAATAAAAGTGTGGTATTTATGTTACAAGGATTAATTTCTTCCATATATAATTTATTGACAGTTTGATAATAATATACACGCTGTACATAAACCAGCAATTTGTCCCGGCAACCCGATATACTTCCGTCATTGTTTCGGTAGACAAAACATTTCTCCTTACGTGTTATTTAGATATATGTTTGTTGCGTGACGCCACTCTCCGCAATATTCCAGCTGTATGATGGCAGTAAATAATAAATCAGGGCCTCCTTTCACAAAGCACTAAGGTGATCGTAAGTCACTAAGGTAACCTTAGTGCAATGTTAAAGAATGGGAGTTAAGGTTAACCTTAGTAAAGGTTGCTTCATCAAAGGAGCCCCTGGACTATAGTCCGTTTGGCTCAAAAGCGGACCGATGAATTGCAATCTAACTCGAAAACTAATAAACATATAATACTCAATGAAACGCTGATCATAATGAAAACGTCAGACCAACTCTGTGAGTTTTGTGCAGAATTTATGTCCTAAAATTAAAAAAGTTGTTTAACAAACTATCATTCAAATATTGACACAGTTCCCTATTTGTTACGAGGGAGGAGTGCAGAGAAAGGCTGGAGACGGCACAGCACAGGTTAATGAATCAATAACTTTGTCGGCACTTGTGCACATGCTTCTCTAACACCTGGCTGTCCTTTTCTCTGCACTCCTCCCTCGTAACAAATAGTGAACTGTGCCAATATTTTAATGATAGTTTGTTAAACAACTTTTTTAATTTTAGGACATAAATTCTGCAAACAAATCACAGGGTTGGTCTGATGTTTTGATTATGATCAGCGTTTCATTGAGTATTATATGTTTATTAGTTTTTGAGTTAGATTGCAATTCATCGGTCCGCTTTTGAGCCAAACGCACTATAGATGATCCAGTGATTGACATCATGAGCATCAACCGATGCAATTGGGATACGATGACATGTGTCATCCAAATCAGAGAGTCTGACCACCTGAACCTATTACTCACCACTTACGACAAGCATGGTTTGCTGAAGACCAATTCTATCATGGATCTTAATGGGTTGGTTTTTGGACCTACTGAAAATCGAAGATTCTGACAAATTGTATACTTTTGTGTGCTTTCATACTGCCTGACCTATAATTGCAGGCTTTAGTCATAAAGAATCTGCCTTGTAAGTGCAGTGCATAGACCATCTGGGGCGGTGGGGTAGCCTAGTGGTTAAAGCGTTCCCTCTGCACTCCGAAGATCCAGGTTCGATTCCCCACATGGGTACAATGTGTGAAGCCCATTTCTGGTGTCCCGCTCAGCTCTCTTCTTCTTAGCTTCCTTCTGCTCTTCACTGTTTTCTGTTCCACTTTGCTTAGTATTCCTTTGCTCTGCGCTGCATTGCTTTCTTCAGCTCAGCTCTCTTTTGCTCTGCTTTCCTCTCCTCTGCTCTCCTCTTCTCAACTTTCTTCTTCTCTTCACTGTTCTTTGCTCCACTTTGCTTAGTGTTCCTCAGCTCTGCTCTGCTTTTTTCAGCCCAGCCCAGCTCAGCCCAGCCCAGGCCTGCTCTGCTCTGCTTTCCTCTGTTCTTACTTTGCACTCCTCTGCTCAGAGGAAGTTCTGACAATGTAAAACATAAAATTGTGAGAAGTGTTTTGATTCTAAGAACACACACACAAACACAAACCTTCTAAAGCCCTAATCCACAGCCTCACCTTAGTATAGTCCTACTCTTGAAGATGGAAACTGTTAATGATGACATATAACAACTTGCCCCAGTCTGATGTATTTCTATTTACAGCTGGTCAAGGAACAGAAAGGGAGAATAACGGAACTGACCAAGTCCAAGCATGAACAGAATGCGGACTTCAGGGTAAGCTGTGTGAGAGGAAGTGTTAGTGTTTCCTGACAATCGTCAGCTTGGGGGCAGGTGTGGACGCCTGGTTCTACAGCACCACCTCCCTGCCCAGACAGTGACAGTAACTGATGAGGAAGCAGGGGACGGGGGGGGTGGGGGTTTGAGGGGTTTTTGGATTAAATGGTTGCCAGCTTTCATGGGAGACTGGCTGGAACTAGCTCAGGAACATGTACTCTATGTTGTGTATAGACTCACCCATACTCTCTCTCATGCATACACTCACTCACCCATCCAGTCACATTGACATACTCTCTCACTCATTTTCTCTGTCATTCCTTAAAGGCCCTGCCTGGATGTTTCTTACACTCTCTCATACTTGTTCTCTCATCCATAAACTCTCACAAACAAAACCACATACTCTCATTCAAAACACTTTCTCTCATACACTCTCACGTATGTGCTCATTCATACACTCACCCATACTCACCCATACTCTCATTGATAAACTCGTTCCCCCATACACTCTCACATATATGCTGTACCATTCATACTCTCACCCATACTCACATACTCTCATTCATAAACTCTTTCCCTCATACACTCTCACATATATGCTGTACCATTCATGCTCTCACCCATACTCACATACTCATTCATAAACTCTTTCTCTCATACACTCTCACATATATGCTGTACCATTCACACTCTCACCCATATACTCACATACTCTCATTCATACACTCTTTCCTTCATATACTCTGAAATATAAAAGCTGTAAACTCAGTCAGTCAGTCTCTCATACACTCTCACATATGCTCACATACTCTCATTCATAAACTCTTTCTCTCATACACTCTCACATATATGCTGTACCATTCATACTCTCACCCATATACTCACATACTCTCATTCATAAACTCTTTCTCTCATACACTCTCACATATATGCTGTACCATTCATACTCTCACCCATATACTCACATACTCTCATTCATAAACTCTTTCTCTCATACACTCTCACATATATGCTGTACCATTCATATTCTCACCCATACTCACATTCATAAACTCATTCTCATACACTCTCATATGATAAATGCTATACTCTCACCCATATACTCACATACTCTCATTCATAAACTCTTTCATACACTCATACACTCTCACATATATGCTGTACCATTCATACTCTCACCCATATACTCACATACTCTCATTGATAAACTCTTTCCCTCATACACTCTCACATATATGCTGTACCATTCATACTCTCACCCATACTCTCACATACTCTCATTCATAAACTCTTTCTCTCATACACTCTCACATATATGCTGTACCATTCATACTCTCACCCATACTCACATTCTCTCATTCATAAACTCTTTCTCTCATACACTCTCACACAGAAGCCTTGTCATTCACACTCTCACCCAATACTGTATCAGTTGTAGTGTAGACTGTTGTCATCTTTCAAATTTTGCAATGATTGATTTTTTCTGTTATTAAACACTCTCACTCACTCACATGACAGAATTCACTCACTCAGGCAAACATGACAGAATTTACTTACGCAAAGACTACTCTCATACAATTACTCATTCACACAAAACACAATTCCGTCACTCCCTCATTCAAACACAACACTCAGAAATCCATTATGGTTGATTCTGTAAGTGTCACTCTCTGAAAGCTAAATCTGTCCACTCAAGGTCTCACCAAGCAATCATCACAACATTTGGGATCATGTCATGATTTTACAGTCAAGCTGTTGACTTTTGTTTACACAGAATTATAGACATATATACACGTTTCAGTCGGATGCTGGTATTGCAGTGATATACTGATGAGAATGTTCTACAACGTGATACTGCGTACCTGAAACAGTATCCACGATTAAACCATCAGCAGTTCTTGACAGGCAAAACGTGACTATATGACACGTTTTTATTTATAACAACTTCTCTTTATTCTTTATGCAATGTTTCAGAGCTAATTCTTGCTCCTTCATCAGGTGAATGCACAGTGTGTTATGATGTTGTGGAAAACAGGAAAGTCAGCTTTTCCATCCCACAGATATTCTTTGGGATTTCAAAATGTGAATTATTATTAGAATCATTCACTTATCTGGCTGTTGTGGCTGGTTTGTCTCTTCTGTCAGTATTGGTGTCAGTATCCATAAACAGATGTTCTTAGACGCCATTAAAACATTGGATAAATATTTGGTTGAAGTTCTAAGCCTTGTGTTTTTTGCAAAATTGTTTTTGAAATATAATAAAATTCAGCATATATATTATAGGATTATTTGATTTAGGATTTATTAAAGGAAGAATGTGTCAACATGAATGGAATGGGGGAACTGGTCTAAGGACTGTATCATATATTGCCAATCTCTCTTCTTAATTTTCATACAAACCGTGAAGATCCGGGTTAGAATATTGATCTTTAGTAACCCATGCTTGTCGTAAGAGGCGACTAATGGGATCGGGTGGTCAGGCTCGCTAACTTGGTTGACACATGCCATTGGTTCCCAATTGCGCAGATCAATGCTCATGCTGTTGATCACTGGATTGTCTGGTCCAGACTCAGTTATTTACAGACCGCCGCCATCTAGCTGGAATATTGCTGAGTGCAGCGTAAAACTAAACTCACACACTATTTAACTATTTTGTCAAGGTGCCCCTAAATGCATTATTTATTTCCTTTCCCCCAGCCTATACCTATACAAAATCACCAGTCTCTGGATTCTGTTCAGATTCATAATCCAATTTTCTATTAAAACTAATTTTTGGTGGGTAAGCTGTCTAAGGCGCCAGGTTAGTGATCCAGGGAGCTTAAAGTGCCGGGATCGATCCCACCTGTGACCAGGTGTAAAAACCTTGGAGTCAACTTTGTGTGCAGACACTATTTCCGTGTTGTCACAACCCCTAGTGTACAGTACACAACCCTGTGCACTTAAAAGAACCCACAAATCCATTGGTATATGACCAGATGGTGGCCACATGAATACGTGCAAGCACCTAGTTGAAGGTACAGCAACATGCAGTAAACTTGGACAAAGTACTGTGACTATGTGTCCCAGTCCACCCAGCTGTGAATGGGTACCTCGTAAGGATGGGAAAGCCACATTAACTTGGTGCGCCTAGTGGCTGCAAGAGTTGTATGCTCCCCAGGGAGTTGAGATTGATGATACGATGTGCCGTTGAGATTGACATCCAATGATCAAGGGTAAAAATACTAGCACCTTGAGCATGCATGGATATGTGTGCTATATAAATATGCTATAATAACAAAAATAATAATAAATATTGGTGACTGCATCACATAGTTCTCTTGTATGCTTGAAATTAATCTTGGACAATATGTCTGATACAATGGTGTTTTATATGTCACTATGCAATCCCTCCTTCTTTCACTACCTTGAGTGGGAGGACTGTCTAGCCAGTGGTCACTTAGTGTAAATCTTGCCCTGTCAGATGTAAATCTTGTACAGTCTGGTGTTAATCTCACCACACCAGCTGTAGGTCAAGTGTAGTGTGAGTGAGTCAGTTTACTAACAGTCTGGTTTCAGCACCATTCCAGCAACATCATGGTGGTGGACACCAAAAATGGGCTTCCCATATTGTACCATATAGGGAATTGAACCCGAGTCTTTGGCATGACAGGCGAACGCTTTAACCACTAGGCTACCCCATCACCCAAAGTCAAGTAAAGCTAATGTCTACCATTCATGATCAGATGATTGAGCTTTGTTTCATTTTTCAGAATTAAAAAAATGTAAAAAGACATTAAATATTGTTTATGAATCATAAATATATTATCAGAATATCTTGCTGCTTGTCAGTTTTCACAAAGATTAAGTCATGTCAAATCCACCTCATCAAATGGCCATTTTGTATTTTTAACTTGTAAGTATGACCTCTTCCAATTTGGTTCATTTTTTCAACACTGATTTTATTTAGGATCCCATTGATCTGCAAACTGTTCGTAATAAGGTATTACAAATGTAACAAGTTGATAAATGGATGTAACCAAATAATCAAATCCAGACAAACAACAAATTGGAAGAGACACGTTCTCCATTACACTCAGGTTATGGTCGTGATACATCAGGAGAGAACGGCAACCTGGCGCGCCAGCCAGTGAGACTCATTTCCTCATAACGGTTGTCCAAATATTTCAGGAACGAGTGACGACACTCGAGGCCCACGTGGAAGAAGCCAGAAAGAGAATGGTGCAACTCGAATTGCTCAAGAAGGTAAGAGTTGTCTCCCTTTTGGAAGTCTGCGATCACACTTGGACAAAAGTTTCACTGAAGTGTTTAAATATTCAACCCTAAACAGGAAGGTTTTATGTCTCATAGATTATTTACTAGATGACTGGCATGAGGACATATGGTCCATGGTTTGATGCGCTTTCTCCAATTTTTGTCTAAAAAAGGAAAAAAATAATTGCCTGATGTGGAACTCAGATCTTATCAGTAAGTAACAGGATAACATTAAGGTAGTCAGTTTATCTTCATAATGTAACAGGTAGTATCAGTGAAATGAGAAACCAGTCTATGAACTGGGCAACGTGATATGTATGCAAATGAGATCACCCGATAGCAACTACTTTTTCAAACTGGCCTATTTTTAAATACACTCCATGCATAATTTTTCTAATGATTGAATCCATCTGCCAACGTGGCAGCAGATCTTTACTATCTTTAATAGGGAAATTAAATAGAAGGATTATGTCTTGATTTTTTCAAGATTCACATTGTTAGATATACAGTTATTACAATTGTTTGTTTATCAGGATACAGATCAGAGATAAGAGATGCATAGTACGTTTCTTAAATCAGTGTATGAAATAAGTCCCATCCGACCGCCCAAGACGGGCTAGATTTCTGCCGGACGGTCTAATTGTACATGGACGGGTGAAAAAAAACAAATTCAGATAACACGTCCATTGGCACTGTATATTTAGTATTTAAGAAGGACTGGTTAAATCTCTTCTGGGCGGATAAGTTTTTGAAGTTACCAGCCCGATCCTGTTAGTCGCCTCTTACGACAAGCATGGGTTACTGAAGGTTCATTCTAACCCGGACCTTCACGGGTATATATATTTTGATATTTATCTTGACAAACCAATGGTGGTGCCATATATTGCTGTCTGTAATGTATGTTTTTGAAAGCAGGAATGAGGGAGGTATGAAAGGAGGTATCAGGATAAAGATCTCTTGTTCTTCATGTCTTTCGGTTCTACTGTTCATGTCAATCGGTGATTGGAAGCAAACATGACATTGACATTTGGTTGGTTGGTTTAATGCTGCACTCAGCAATATTCCACCTATATGGCAGCGGTCTATAAATAATCGAGTCTGGACCAGACAATCCTGTGATCAACAGCATGAGCATCATCTATGCAACTGGGATATGATGACATGTGTCAACCAAGTCAGCGAGCCTGATCACCCGATCCCATTAGCTGCCTTTTACACATTGACATTTGATTGAGAAAGTTTTCGCCCAAAAGTTTCTGTTACTGAAACACTTATTGTAAATATACACATTTTTGAAACTGAAACACTTTGAGCTCTGTATGCTCTGCAGTTGTGCTTCAGTCTGGACGAATTAAAGATCTCGGTTTGTCACCACCATAGCCATGCTCATGGGTTTCGCCAACATCAGATGTTCACATGTCTCAGAGACGTTGGGGGCGGTGGGGTAGCCTAGCGGTTAAAGCATCCGCTCGTCACGCTGAAGATCCGGGGTTCGATTCCCGACATTGGTACAACGTGTGAAGCCCATTTCTGGTCTTCCCCCGCCGTGATATTGCTGGATTATTGCTAAAAGCAGTGTAAAACTAAACTCACACACTCACTCACTCACTCACTCAGAGACCTGTGAAGATCTGGGTTAGAATTGGTTTCAAGCAACCCATGCTTGTCACAAGAGCAGACTAATGGGATTGGGTGGTCAGGCTCGCAGACTTGCTTGACACATGTCATCATATCCCAGTTGTGAAGGTTGATGCTCACATTATCAATCACTGGATTGTCTGGTCCAGATTTGATTATTCAGTGATCACTGTCATGTAGCTGGAAAATTGCTGAGTGCTGCATTAAACAGCAACCACCCAAGCCAACATGTCTGAGACCTACCGGTACATCACACCGATATTTCTTCCACCCTTAACCTGATATAGCTGAAAAATGTTTTTATTTAAACGTTCACAGCTCTGAATACTTCAGTCCCGATCAATTTCTCACTAGTATTTTTGGTTTGAATGCCCCATTTCCCCATCATTACCCTTCTAGGTTTGTGAGCACCTACATGGTACGTGTCTTTCATGTTCTTCACTCTAATCTGTCTACCCACATCAAGCTGATATAGCCTAGATACCTTTCAAAGCGGAGTTTAACCCAACTCAGTGACTGTATGTTCCAGGAGAAGGCCCGTCTCTCTGCAGAGGTCCATGCCCAGGAGTCTGTGATCGAAGGCCTGAAAGCTGAGAGGAAGCTGTGGGGGCAGGAACTCGCTCAGCAAGGTGAACCATGTACAGAGTCTTTGATGTATAATATATCAAGATGATAAGAATTTATAACTTTGATACTTGCCACTGAAGCTGCAGTGTATTTTAACAATGCATTCAGAACAATTAGGGACAGGTGACAAACTCTCACAATCATCATCATCATCATCATCATCATCATCATCATCATCATCATCATCATCATCATCATCATCATCATCATCATCATCATCATCATCATCATCATCATCATCCATTCTCATCCATCATCATCATCATCATCATCATCCATTCTCACTCTCCATCATCATCATCATCATCATCATCATCATTCTCACTCTCCATCATCATCATCATCATCATCATCATTCTCATCATCATCATCATCATCATCATCATCAATTCTCACTCTCCATCATCATCATCATCATCATCCATTCTCACTCTCCATCATCATCATCCATTCTCACTCTCCATCATCATCATATCCATTCATCAAGTTTTTGTAAATAAGTATCAAATAAATATTCCCAATTTGTATATTGAAAGTATTTTATCACAGTTCTACCACAGAAGTACAGCATCAAAAATATACAAAATGATGGGCAAAGATGAGAATACTGCAAATACACAATACAATCCTTGTATCATCAGTATATAATGTGACTTAGTTATTTAACCCAGTCATGTGTGTTTCAGGTTCATCTTTGGCACAGGACAGAGGACGTCTGGAATCCAGGATTGAGATCCTCAACCAGGAGAATGCAACACTCAAGAAACAGCTTGAGGTGAGACTGTGTTGATAATATACTCATGGAAACAAATAAGGGAACACATGAAAGTACAAGTGTTCCTTGTTTCTGTTCCAGGTTTCTTCACAAGCTTTGTATTGCACTGTGGGTGAAATTCTGTAAAAGACTAAAGGAACACTTGTACTTTCAGGTGTTCCCTTTTTAGTTTCCATGAGTATATATTGTTTGAAACTTAAAAACTTGCAGCATTTTCTGGCTGTAATAAATAAAACCATTAAACAATATTCATAACCAGTAATATTACATGCCTTCAGTCAGAGATGGAACATCATCTTTTGGTTATGTTTTTGTTCCAGAGAGAGACTGATGGTCTCAGAATCAAGTCCAAGGTCATTGACGACCAAACAGAGACCATTCGGAAACTGAAAGAGGTGAGAATTCCAAACATCAATCTCCCATCTCTCCCCGCTCGGCTACATTAGAAACAGTGAGTGAGTGAGTTTAGTTTTACGCCACACTCAGCAATATTACAGCTATATGGCGCCGGTCTGTAAATAATCGAGTCTGGACCAGACAATCAAGTGATCAACAACATGAGCTTTTATCAATGCAACTGGGAACAACTGGATGTCATCGATACTGCAGATCGATACTGCGGCGTAAAATCTAACTCACTCACTTACTCACTAGAATGTGAATAATCTGACAAGCCTCATATAATATTACTGAATTTATTTTGTACGATTCTAATTATATCCCTGTTGGTGACACTCAGGTCATTCAATACATACAGCAAGTAATGAAATATGTCTGCCTTAGTATCTTCGTACATTCATCAAATCACCAATCAGTTATAAAACTTCAGAAATCCTACCAGACAAACCTTGGAAAACTGAAACGTGGTGAAGTTGACTGAAAATAGATTGATCAAATCTATGAAATCACTGAAAAAGTACAAGTCCTTGTCTTCATTGTAATATCATCATTCTGGTAATACTGCATGGAAGAATATCTTGGGAAATACACAAATAATGCTAATTAAGTACTGGATTAATCTTTTGGGAATCAATGAAAGTGAATACCTCTTGCAATGTTATGTTGTATTTAAAGCATCAGGTGAAAATGGCAAAGTCATTCGGGCAATTAAGAATGAGACAAATGTTATTCAACAGTGACTTTGTGTGTGGGGATGTTAGTGATGAGAACATGTTTTTATCTGCATTAAACATATGGTACCACAGTTTGGAGATATCAACCTTTTTTAGTGCATTTTGCTGAGAGAAAATCTCTGCTGTAACCCAAAAATTTATATATAACTGTACTCAAAAACATATGATTAATTAGAGCAATGTGTAAATTTTGAATAACTTTCATGTATTTCGGCATATAATGAAGGGGATATAGTCAATGCCTCGTCCGTCCGTCCATCCATCCGTAATCATTTCGTTTCCGGAGCATAACTAAAAAACGTTCAATATTTTTCAACCAAACTTGGTATATATATCAGACAGAACCTGAAGTGGTGCCTTTTGCTTTTTGCAGTTTTTGGCATTTTTTATTTATCCCAGTTTCCGTGGAAACCATTTGGACGTAATCTCAACACGGAGGCTCTTGTTTTTATGTAAATACACTCTAGAAATATTTTTCTTACCTTATTATTGTAAAGGTAGAATTATGTTTGCAAATAAATACCATTTCTGTGATATAAATCTTCTGCTTTTGATAGCTTTGTAAATTGTTTAAAATGAGATTAACAAAGATGTACCAGAAACAGTATGTTAACACTCTGGACCTGTTGACTAAATAAATCTTACAGCTGGACTAAGAACTACGTTGCCTGATTTACGAAACAGACTTGATTCATTTCCATAAACATATTTTTATCGCAACCTATTTCAATGAAACTAAGCTGGCAAAAGTGTCCTTGGTATTTATTCAACAGAATGATGATATAATGCCTGGATTATCGAGGAGGATGGAATTGTATATTTTTACTGTTTTTCCAGGGTCTTGTTGAACGAGATGGAGAAATAAAAAAAGCTCGAGAAGAGACTTTGAAAGTGCAGCAGGACTTAGAAGCTCAGCTATTGGAGGAGAGAACAGCTAATCAGGACACCCAGGTGAGTCACATGACACTGTCTGGATAACTGATATTATAATGTTTTAAGCAGTTCCCTAATGTCTTCACAAACAAGTATTCTTCTCACATCATTAAACGAGATGAGCTTTCTAAATTGTCATTGCAGCTTAAATTCCTCCATATTTGACTCTTCTATCAATCTTTGACATTTATAACAACTTGCGGTGTAGGATTTCAATTTCATGTCTTTTGTCTGAGAACAAAATATCTGCCTTGATGAAAGATCATTTTAATGTCACACTTTTGATCCAGGATGAAATTAGACATGGCAACTTTGTTAGATGCTGATTTTGTAAGAATTATTAATCATTAATGACAATTAAGTAATTAAAGTTTGTTACCCCCAAGTCATTTCATCAATGTCATGGTATCTTGCAACCAAACAAACCAGTGCATGATATGAGTTCCGCCTTCATTCTTTAGGATGCAATGGACCATTTGCGAGAACGGAAAGATGAGTTGAAACGAGAAGTTTCGTCTTTACGTGAAGAACTTGCCGAGTCTCAGAAGGCTCACAGGTGAATGTTTATTGTGTACTAACACTGAGTTTTATAACTTCGACAACACTAAATGCATAGGAAAATATTTAAATATTTCGATTGAAAAGTTGAGAAATTTGCTCAATCACTCTGTTTTTGGAAATAATGACCAAAACGAATGATGACACCTTATTTGCCATGATGCAGATTTACATGATCTCAAATTGCTAATTTAAGTACGGTGACAATAAATGAAAAAGGCTGAATTTTTAAACTTCAAAAGAAGATCAAAGCTTGAGTAAGGCCTCGCCAGTCGTGGCAAGGAACTTTCAACATTAAGTCTCAAAGAATATATGATCAGTTTTTCTTGAGTTGCAATTAGTCTGTTTACAATACACATATTACCTATTCTCAGGTTAATTAAAAGTTTGGTCTTTTTGTCATCTCGAGGGAAATATTTGGATTAAAACTTTGTTTTCCTGATATCAGACTACAGCCCTGGGCCCCATTTCACAAAGCGATCATAGCGCCAAGGCGATCGTAAGCTTGCTTTTTGCAGCTGGGCCCAGAAATCCAGCATCAGACCTGTGAATATATTGATTACAATAAGGGATGTTTTTCAGCATCCTCAACACACGCTGGAAAGAGAAATCGGCTGTGATTGGTCAGCTGGAACACCAAGTGTCACAGATGAAGGAATCATGGGAAGGCAAGGAGGAGAAGCTGATGGGAGAGCGAAACAAAGCCATCGAAGCAGCAAAGTTAGTCACGCTCGGTGCTTCTTGTACATTGTTTGAATAAGTTTTGTTTGTTATTTAATGCTGCACTCGGTCTGTAAGTGATCAAGTTTGGACCAGACAATCTAATGATTGACATCATGAGCATTGATCTACACAATAGGGTAACAATGACATTTATCAACCAGATCAGTGTGTCTGGCCACCCAGTAGTGAGTGAGTTTAGTTTTACACTGCACTCAGCAATATACCAGCTATATGGCGGCGGTCTGTAAATAATCTAGTCTAGACCAGTATATACAGTGATCAACAGCATGAGCATTGATCTGCGCAATTGGGAACCAATGGCATGTGTCAACCAAGTCAGCGAGCCTGACCACCCGATCCCGCTAGTCGCCTCTTACAACAAGCATGGGTTACTGAAGATCTATATTCTAACTCTGACCTTCACACGTAGCCACCCAGTAACAATATATGCCTCTTATGACAAGCAAGGCTTGCTGAAACCAATTTCAATCGGAATCTTCTCGTGTTTTGAATTGCTGGACAGAAGTACAGTGTTGTGCGTGTTGAGCAGACTTTCATTTAATTCCAGAATTAACATGATCTTACAAAACATACACATATATGAAACATCAACAGAACAAGGGTCAATTTCAAGAGAACTGCAGCAGCATTCAAAACAGTAATCTGCCCGACCACCTGAGGCCGCCAGATTTGTTTTTAGGCTGATAGTGTTACAACGGCCTGCAGTATATTTCAAACTGTGAACACAGAAAATGAATTATAACACTTAAATCACTCTGTAAAATGGCGTCCACCATCAAAACGCTCCGCTCGTTAATCAGTAATCTGCTCATTAATCAGTCCTATTGACCGGAACTTATAGATTCAAAGCAGACGAGATGGTTTACATGAAACCTTGTGCTGTAGTGATCACCTTACTTGCTGTTGACATCATTACTGCACTGCTGTGTAACATATAAATATTATCCCGAAAGCTGACACACCTTGTCTGTTCATCTCAAGATTTTGTGAGGTCATTTCGTGATGTAAAGATGTGTCTTTCTTGCCAAAGAAAAATATATTGCAATGTATCAACTGAAATGTTTGGGCCTACAGTTAAGGCTGTCAGTTCAGCTATTAAACAACAAACAAACTCCAGTGTGCGAAATAGTTTCCAAACTTTGCTAGCCAGTCGTGCTAGCTATGCCTGAAAGTTGCTAGCCCACAAACTAATTCAGGGATCACAAGCCCGAAATTTGAATGCAGACACGGGTTTCATCATTAAGCTGCTAATATGAACATTTTTGCCGGGCCATCATGGCGTGATTTAAACTGACTGACTGAGTTTAGTTTTACGCCACTTTTAGCATTATTCCAGCAATATCACAGCAGGGGACACCAGAAATGGGCTTCACACATTTTGCCCATGTGGGGATTCGAACCCGGGTCTTTGGGGTGATGAGCCAACGCTTTAACCACTAAGCTACCCCACCGCCCCATGTGATTTAAAAGTGTGTTATAACTTAACAAGATATGTTTACTAAATGACCCCATGAAAATTCACTAGCCAGTCGGGCCAGCGACTGTGGAGATTTACTGGCCCGATTGGATTTTTACTAGCCACGGGTTAGCAGGTTAGTGGCTATTTCGCACACTGACAAACACCATTACACTGACGAATTACACACTGTTTTCTTCAATTATTAGAAATCGTTGAATTAAGAGCCAGGTGGAGTAAGTTTTGATATTAAGACCTGGGATCAAACAAGGTGTTGGTCACGTGCAAATTATCTTTCTCCCCTTAAATTCCAGTACAATAGGGCCTTAAGTTTCGCAGGCGCTACTTTCGGTACTAAGCTGGTTACTGGCTCAATTTGCTTGCGTTAACTTGCAATATGCGAGACAGGACCCAGTTTACTTCCGGTACCAGATTTCCGGGGACAAACGTATATCCAAGAACCAGTTCTGGTTCTAAATTGCGAGACTACAAAATGTAATTACCAGACTGGGACCAAGTGTACAACCATGCTTGGCTGTCACGGCTGTTGACAGTCATAACAGTCGGCTAATTTGGGGAATGTTAGATAGAAATTTGGTTATTCCTGCAAGGATTATTGGTTCCTTACTGTCAGCTGACAACCATGAGACCATTTGAAGAGGTATGAAACGTTGTTTGTCACCGGAAGTACTAAACGATGTAAGATCTTGCGACCTATTTACTAGGCCTATTTCATTTACTTTGCTGTCTCTTCTTGTCACAGGTGTGAAAGGGATAAGGGCAAGGTCACGCATACAGGCAGGGGTCACTTGTACAAACAACCTTAGCAGTATGACTATCATAAGCCTATGTTAGAGAATGGAAGTTACAATTGTCCTTGTGCTAAGATTGTTCTAGTGTAACAGGGATATTATGGTAAAATTTAGTTCGTAAGATTCTTATGGAGGAAATTGTATGTCCTTATTTCATGATTTATGCATCTGGGCCCTGTTCCTCTAAGCAATCATATCGCTACTACAGTCGTAAGTCTATGTTAAAGTATGGGAGTTACAATCATCTTAGCTAACGATTATTTTATGGAACGGGGGCCCTGTATGACAGTAATTCACTGTTGTTTGTTGTCTAGCTTGGCCATAGAGAAGTTAAGAGGGATGGATGACGCATTTCGCAAACAGCTGGAGGCAAAGGAGAAATCACACCAAGAGGAGATAACTCTTGCCAAGGAACAAAAAGAACAGGAAGTGCAAGAAGCAAACAGAAGGGTATGACTCACAAACTGCAGTTGTCTCTAACAGAACCTGGGGACATGTGTAGAAACATGTCCAAACTTACAGTTCATGTTGAAAGGTTTAGGATATTGTTATCAGGGATTGTCGTGAGTAGAAACTGTTGCCCTAACTACTGGGAATAATTATTGCATTTGTCAGATTTAGTTACTTTCCAGGTTTTGATTGATTTTAGATATGTAAAACGGGGGACCATGTATGAAAATGTTGAAGATCCATTATGACACCCTCGCGCACAATATGGTGACTGTTATATTATCCATACTATAATCATACCCAGTGCTTCAAATATTCCTGTGATTTTCATAGCACTGCTTCTTTTCAAACTCCAGGACATAATCATAGACTTACAATGGCCGTAGCACTGCCACTTCAGTTTAACATTTGCTATTGCTGCTTGAGAGAAAGTGAGAATATGTTTACAAGAAATATATATTTTCTGTAAAATCATTTTGCCACATTTGTAGTCTCAGTATGTTTTGTCTTCTGTTCCCACCAGGTGGCTCTAGTGGAAAATGAGATGCGTGAGTTGTTGAGAGAGACTGAGAGCAACAAACGTGCAATGGAGGAGAAGGTCAAACGTTTGACTCATGCCCTGGGAGACCTCCAGTCTAACCTCTTCTGAAGGTGAAAGTTGATGACCTTGATGACCTTGGAACAAGAACAAACTATCTCTGAACAACTCAAGCCTGAATCACACGATGGGTGTTATTCTGTACCAGCTTCTGTCTGTTTTCTTGGTAACTATAGATCTGGTGGCTCTTGTTTTATGAAAGGTGCATGACCTTCAGATGGCTGAGAGTCACAACACTGTCCTGGGCCCTGTTCCTCAAAGCGATCGTAGCGCTATGATGATCGTAACTCCCATACTTTAACATAGACTTACGACTGTCGTAGCGCTACAATCGCTTTGAGGAACGGGGCCCAGTATGGTTGGCACAAAACTGTTGTCCCACACCAGCAAGCTGAGGAACATTGCTGAGTACAGAATTATACCACAGAGATAAAGCACTGCGATCAGCAGCATGACTATGACACACAGGGTTAATGTAGAGATTCTACTGCCACTGCCATCAACCTCATGACATTCCAGATTTTGTTTTATGTCACCTTCAGCAATATTTGAGCAGTCTCACAGCAGGGGGTGCTAGAAATGGGCTTCACAAATGAAAACCTTTTTGGGAACTGAAGCAGGACCTTTAGTATGGCAAGCAAATGCTTTACCCACTGGGCCAACCACCCACTGCCCTAAACATTTCAGAAATATGTTTTAGATAGATATTTACATTAGACACTATGAGCTTTGAACTGAAGATAGAAACTGACAGGTCAGATCAGAAGACATATGTTTGTTATCAGATTTGTCATTTATTTCAGAACTAAGCCATGTGGTTTAAATTTTCCCCACATGGGTACAATGTGTGAAGCCCATTCCTGGCGCCTTTTGCCATAATATTGCTGGAATATTGCTAAAAATAGCGGGAAAACCCAACTCACTCACTCACTCACTTAAAGTGACATCCTCTTTCCTGTCTCCTCCCATATCTGAAATGCCCAGTCACCCTTTATAACACTGCTTGAAGAGGCCTGGGGAACCACACATTCCATGAGTTGGCTTCCAGCTGTTCAGGATTTATACATCAACATTGTTAACTTTACCTCTGTTCCGTTCCCCTTTTGATTTGTATAACCCTAGTATGTTTCCTCACATTGCTATGGTTGTTTAATTGTTTTAGATATTAATCAAATGTTACAGTACACTGGTTCATGAAATATATTGTGAACATGTGTGAACGTTTATTTGAAGCTCTGTACATTCAGCCAAGGTGTTTCTCCTGACATCTGGAATATTTAGATCAGCGCGAAGTTAATTGTTTTATTATGAAGCGAGTTTGATACCAAATCTTTCACGAGTTTTATAAAATGCTATTTCACAGAAGTGAGTTTAGTGTTCTGGTTTATTACTCCCCAACATAAATTGATAGAAACTGCCTACAGTGTGATGAGTCTTAGCTTTCCACGAGTCAAGCCTGGCCCCAATTTCTCGAAACAAACTTAAGTCTGAGTTTTGACTTAAGTTAGAGTTTTTACTCAAATTTGAGAAAACGCATTTCCCAAAATGAACTGAAATGGATATTAAACTCAAACATAGCAGACAATTTGAGTTTGGTGAATAGAATACTTAGGTAGTTTGGGCTTTTTTATTTTAAAAATGTTGCTGAGTTAAAAATTCAGTTGTTTCAAATTGTCAATTTGAGTAAAAGCTTAAGTATGTTTCGAGAAATTGGGACCAGGTCTAATACCATTGTGACAGTGGTATTAGCATTGTGACATCATAACGGTAAACCATTATGACGTCATACGTCCAGCATCATGGGATGTTATTACACAATGTGTAATAACATTGTAGATTTATTAAACAGTGATATCTTCAACAGGTGAGTGATAAAGTTCTGTCAATTATGATCTAATAATCCAAGTCATACAAATAGAATAGTCGTAGTTGTATTAGGTCTTACTTCTGTATTCTGCGTTAGGTATTACTTCTGTTGGTTGACAATAAATACCTCATTCCATTTTGATGTTATTGTTTGTACTAGCTTGCCTTGTATAACCATAAAACCATGAAAAACAAATGTTCAGGAATGTGAAACAATTCCTGATACAGACAGGGTCACAACTGTTTCTGTAGATTATTGAAAATTGTGGTGATGTGAACCCAATTCAAATTATTTATCATCCCAAACTGTGTTCCACAGGAGATTTTGCTTGTGTGAGATCAAACGATATCTCCTTGGAGATTTCGTTCCACAGTAGATTTTGTACAATGCCCTGGCAATGCTATGACATCATAAACTTGATGACATCACAATGCTATGACATCACTGCTGTGTAAGTCTAATGGCAGTACTGTGTTCAGAGATGTACATTTTGCACTGAAAACTAAAGAAAGAGTGATTTTTTATGTTAAATAGAATCTCACCCTCGTGTCTTCTGATATCAAATATATCAACTCTTGTTGATAAAAGTAAAAATTGTAACTTTCAACTTGTGGTGATATATTTGATATCAAAAGACACTTGGGTGAGATTCTCCATTTATACAAAGATGAAAGCACAGATTTACAATGAAACACTTACAAGTATTTCCTCTTAAAAGTACCAGAGAATTGTTTCAATAAAGGTTTCAATTCAAACATTAAGCCTGACCAATATAATTAGTTGCAATAATGCAGTAATAACTTCCTCATACATTATAATTTCTGTCCCCCATGAATGTCTTTGTCCTATGTAGTTTCTTCTATATATTTCTTCAGATGAAATCCGTAAATTGAATTGGTCTATCTTATCAAAATTATTTTTTCAATACAGCAGCAGCTCTGTAAAACATAACTTTATTGTTTCAACAAGATTATATTTCATGAATATCCTAGTCTTGACAAAAAGTAGCAATTGTATGGATAACCTCTTTAATATCTATTTGGTGACGTTCCAGTATAGGTCGTTATACCACTGTCAAGCTAAGGAACTATACAAACAGATAGATTAACAGATTATGAATAATTTATAATCCATACAATTGCCACATTGTAACAACCCTTACCTTCTAAAGATGCCTATCAAACACCTTATTATAGTCTAAATCTCACTCATGTTTGGCTACATAGTTATGGTATAGTATAGTACAGTACTAGTTCTACTCGACCGCCTCCGTGGTGTAGTGGTTAGAGCGTCCGCCCGGAGTGCGGAAGGTCGTGGGTTCGATCCCCGACTGGTCATACCAAAAGACGTTAAAATATGGTACTTGTTGGTCCCTGCCTGGCGCTCGGCAGGCTCAGAGTCAGTATAATGTGTGTGAGTGGGGTATTCATGCTTCACTGTCGCATGGTATCTCAACCAGCTTCAGTCTGGGCTAGTACAAGCAGCCGCACTTACACATACACACGCATGCACGTCGTCATATGAGCAAAATATTCTCAAGCACGACGTTAAACCCAATTCCACCACCACCACCACTAGTTATACCCTCGTTCAGCAACATATGTCGGATATATATTTGCAAAGCGAAGTAGTTGAACTCGATAAGGCAGATGTAGACAAAGGTGCTAGAGTGCATATTTTACTTCCGCTTCTGTCAATTTCATTGTCTGCCGTTCTCAAAGAAACACAGTCTTAGGGGTATATAATGTTTGGATTTGGATTTTAATCCACTATACAATATGTTCTCATAATGTTTAATATGCACTTTATAAACAATAATTAAAAGAAACGGAAATGGGACGTTCTGTTCACCAGGCTGCAGACTAAGGTTGAAGATTAATGTGTCAGTTTAATGTGGCAAGAATGCCTGCAGACTTAGACAACGACTTTATGACCGTTTATAAATAAAAGAAGGTCGTAAAACACTTTTGTGTATCCTCTCACACGATCATGTGCATTGTGTCAGTGAGCGAGTGGGTTTATTTTTACGCCGCTTTTATCAATATTCCAGCAATATCACGGCGGGGGACACATTATACATTGTACCAACTTGGAGAATCGAACCGGGTCATGTGCATTGCTTTTTCCAAAGTATAAACCAAGGATACAGTTGTTGTTTTTCTAATGTACACAGACCATGCAATCGTTGACAATATGTTTAGTAGACTAGTTTGTACTCTTCAACTTCATCAAAACAGACGACTGAATGTTATTTTACATATTGGCTGGTACATCCAATGATCGAAGGTATTTAAGCATCAACCAACGCTGTTTGTGGTAGAAAACACAGAAGTCGCACATTTTCACCATCGTGAATGATAAATAGTCCGCTCTTAATTAGAGCCTTGTCTTCCACGGAATTCTTGCAAAGAATTCTCACCTAGGAGAATCATGACATACATGAGAAGTATTGATAACAAATTCCACACGAGACGGTTATTCATATTGCATTTTGGCAGCTTTTCTGATTCCCCTCAGTGACACATGTCTGAGAACCCATCTTCCCGAAATCCCGAAAAGGGTGTCAACACGCATGGCGCAGCCCGGTAACTAGACTTGCACAGGTCTGTAAGGTAATAATTAATAGTTGAACTGATATTCTAAGATATATAAATATTTATCTACTGTAACAGACTGTACCCGTGAAGACCTGGGTTAGAATCGATCTTCAGCAAACCATGCTTGTCGTAAGAGGCAACTAACGGGATCGGGTGGTCAGACTCGCTGACTTGGTTGACACATGTCATGGTATCCCAAATGCGTAGATCGATGCTCATGATGTTGATCACTGGATTGACTTGTCCAGACTCGATTATTTACAGACCGCCGCCATATACTAGTAGTTGGAATACTGCGGAGTGCGGCGTTAAACAACAATCCAACCAACCAATCAGACTGGCGTCCTTTTCTGTCCGCTTATCTAGATCTCTTTGAAGAATAGAAGTACTATACAGCCTTGAAACAAGGCTACCCGGTAACCAGCGTCGTCACGCCTGTTGAGTCACGCAGTTGCATTATTCCGTGACATCGTGACGAAAACACTTTAAGTTAGCCAAATGTGACCTTGGCATGTTGTAAATTGTTACCTTGTGCGTAATACAGGCGAACAGAATCCCCGCTAGTGTATGTTTTTGGCACTTTAACATTTTTGACACTGTGCTGAAAGAAATGTCACTTGACGTCCTTCAAGTGTCAGAATGTGCGCGGCCACGCGATATTATAATCCACGAAACATACGAGGGACATTGCCGGGTCTTGAACTTTCAAAATGAGATCTTACACTACTCGTGAAGATCCAGGTTTGGTCGTCAGTTACCCATGTGTATTATAACCGGATCGGGTGGTCAACATCGCTGACTTGGTTGACACATGTCATCGTATCCCAATGGTGTAGATCAGTGCTGTCAATCACTGGATTATCTGGTCCAGACTCTATTATTTACAAACCACCGCCATATAGCTGAAATATTGCTGAGTGCGGCGTTAAACAACAAACAAACAAAATAGGATTGCTAAGTTTAAGATATGAGATTGTGAAATGAACCCAATACGGACAGGCAACATGGTCCATTACAATAAAGCTGTTGCAGATGACGAAGGCGTTGTATTAACACTCAGTTCGGATGAAGGATCTGATCAGGATATGTCACTATTTGTAGACAGTTTGGTGTTCATTCCCAAACAGAAAATCAATGAAACCAGAGAAGTGTCACAGATTCCGGGTTCGCCCTTATTATATTTCTTGACTTCTTAGCGCCATACCTCTTCTTGGCTTTTAACCAGAACGATCAACCATGGCGACAAAACGAACAAGCTGAGGCCATGTATAACAATTCTCATTACCGCCCGATCCAAAAATTCAACCCGACCCTGAGAATTGTTTTATTTTTTACACGAGAGAAAATGCAACTTTGACTCTTAAAATGTGCCTGAATTTTTCACACACTTTCAAAAGTTTTGATTTTCAATTGGAGAAAAGGTGTATATTTCCACAGAAATCAAGGGTTTATTGACATAAAAAAATGTAAAAACATAATCCACCCGCCTGATCCATGTTTTTTCGAAAAAGTGATGAGAAACAAGAATATTTTCTTATTTGGCCTTACACATGTGGCTGTATACACCCAGCTCACCCATTCACAAAATGTTTGTTTGTTTGTTTGTGCGTGCGTGCGCGTGCGTGTTGCCTAGTGATTAAAGCGTTCACTTGTCACGCCGAAGACCCGGGACCGATTCCTATGTGTGATGTTGCTGAAATATTGCTAAAAGCGGCGCAAAACTAAACTCACTCACTCACTAAATGGGAGAGAGATCTGGCGATTCAGCTGGCCTGGATTGAGGTTTAGTTCTGCAAGGTCAGCAAGTCATTGACTATACAACATACGTACGCTTGTTTCTGCTGAAATAGGAATGAATGAATCAGTGAATTAGGTTGGGTTTACGCCGCTCTGAACAGTACGAGTATTAAAGACACACCTTGACGTCTCAGCCGAATGAGAGAGAAAGGCCCTGAGTGATGCTGGTCTCAGACGTGTAATATAAAACTTGGATGAAACCCACGAG